ACATGTATGAAATTCTCAAAGTTTCTTTTAAAAGTAAAACAAAAAAGTTTGGTGAGACACTTAATATACCTAGAGACATTGTCCAATAAATTTAAAGATGCTTAGGGTACCCAAATTTATAAGGCCTTTGAATGTACTATCAAAATATCCTTATTTATAAATTTGCATGTGTATTTTAATTAGGCATGCCAAAATAAAGCAAAATAAACCAATAATTTTGTGCACAATAAATGAATGAAAAAAAAAAGATACACATCATCTAGTATCACTGCAAAGTAATGTTGGCAGTGGTCTTAGAGCCTCCAAGGGAACCCTGAATCTTATTTTGCAAACCACTGGCTAAAATTACCTTGTATGGACTTCTTAAGAATTATTGGCTTTAGTTGGGCATGGGAACACTTATCTGTAATTCCAGAGATTTGAAGGCTAAGGCTGAATGATCACAAGTTTGAAGCCATCTTGGGTTACATAGCAAGACTGTCTCAAAAAACCTAAACAAGCAAAAATCTAAGACAAAGTGAATACACACACATGTACACATATACCCCTACCTATTCCTGTAAGGAACCTGAATGATGTACTGGTGTTCTCAAAGGAAGTTTATTTAATAACGGACTGCCGTTAAAATACATCTAATTTTACCAAAGCAATTAAAATCCTACCTCAAATCCTGAACAAATGCTATGCCCCAAACCCAACTAACAATTCTCATAGAAAACGAGACATAAACATACATACCTAAGTAGTTAAGAGGGGTTATAAAGATGGAACCAGTGAGGATAACATAATTCTCTCCAGAATTTTTTTGTATTTTTTAATATTGTCTACATCAATGTTATCTTACATCATTAGAAATACTAAAAGTGCCTGCTCTTCTCTAACATATGGTAAAATTAGTGTGAGAAACTCAAAGCTGATTAAAAGAGAAGAAAATGCCTAATAATAACAGAGATAACATAGACTATTATGGATATAATTTGGTGCCAGGTGGGGTTGGGTAGGAGACAGAATTATTTCTGGATCAGATGAAAGCAGGTAAATTTTGATTAAACTGGGGAACAGTGTCCTTTGAGGGTTCTACTGATTAGGAAAAAAAAAAAATCACTGAAAATATGTATTGTCTTACTTTAATTTTTTTCTTTTGGTTTTCTGACATAGGCTAGCTACAAACTCCTGATCTTCCTGTCTCTTCTTCCTGAGTACTTCGGATTACAGGCATGAGCCACAGTGTTAAACTTCACCCTTCACCTTTTTTCCCCACCCTAGTGTTAAGGATCCAGTCCAGGAACTTGCACATGCTGGACAAATGTGAAAACCACTGAGCCTAGTCCTCCCATTCCTTTTCAAGCACACAGAATATAATGCAAATAGCATACTTGGCGAAGATTCAAACTGTTCAAAATATCAGATAACAGCTATTTAATATCTATTAAAATTCCTAGAGGCATATGTTTACCTTTAATACCAGACAATAGTCAGTAGGCGCTTTGTATTTGTTCCGATAGTCCTGGCCATAATAAACATTCACATGATCCAGTTGGAGAAAGCATACCAGGTCCCGAGAGACCTACAAAAAAATACCCACAAAATCAAACTGATAACATGCAAATAATCAAATATCACGTAAAGATTTTTAGTTGAACCAAACCTTTACTAGGTAGAAATTACTGCTGCTTCACAAAAGTTGAGACACTGAGAGTCTTTACACACATCTGTTCTTTAACCCACAATGTAACCAAAGGCAGTCCATTTTGCTTGCTGTCTTGCCATTTCTAATGAATACTGACTTGTTTGGAAATGTTGGTATCTTCATGATACTTTAAATACAGTATGGCATGATATAGTAGTGCTCTTAGAAAAGAACAAGAATATATCAAGTAGTTGAATATCTATAATGTATAACTCAAATATAGTGATTTTCAACTGAGAGTTTCTTCATTAGTTAAAGAGGGGCAACGATTTATATTCTCAAGAGTATTACAGGACTAAATAAATGGTACTTTAAATATCTCTGGCCCCAAATAAGCACAGAAATGACAGGTACACCAGAGAGGCCATTAACAAAGCACATTGCTCAGGATTGAAATGGAAAACTTTTCTCCCCATACAAAAACAAAAACTACTCTGACAAGAGACCCCAAAATAATGAAACTATGCTTTAGCTAGACATGGTAGCCCACAGCTGTAAGCTCAGCACTTGGGAGATGGAACAGAAGAATCAAGAATTCAGGGTCATCCTCAGCTACATAGTGAGTTTGAGTTCAGTCTGTACTACATGAGACCCTCTCTTAACAACAACGAAATCTAAAAAGCAAAAAACTATGATTTAAATTTGGTAAGGTATTTGAGAAAAACCCAAAAATGACCAGAGAAGCGAAAAACTTTTAGTCTCTCCTTCTTTACAGTAGATAATAAACAAAGCCATCTTCTGTGTGTCCTACACAAGCAAAGACAGTATACTTACTCCAAATTAAAAGCAGCTAGCATAATATGAGAAGTGCAGAAGCCTGGGGAAGGGACACACCTTTGCTTTTCCTTTAGGGACATAGTAGATACCAGATGCTCGCAGGAGAAAATAACGCTTTTTCCAGGACTTCTTGCCATCATCTTTCAACCAAAGGACTCCTTCAATTTCTGGGACAGTTACAGAACTTCCACAAAAACATTCCTGAAAAAAAAAAAAAGATCATTTGGAAATGATCTTTTATTTGATCCTTATAGTTTCAGAAAACGTATCTACTTCTGTGAGATGCATAACACTAATTAAAGCAAAATGTTTGTTTTAAAGCCATACTAGTTTTTTAGCATGGCTCTGTGTCCTTGTTGGCCAGCCAGCAAGGCTGAAAGGTGAGTGTCTAGTTCAGAGACATTGTCCCGAAGGAATAAGGTGGACAGTGAGAGAAGACACCCATTGTCCTCCTCTGGCCTCTGCATGTACACTCATGGATGTACACACCTGCATACTCATGTGCATACACCACACACGTACCACAGCACACACACCCACACCCAAAATGCCTGTCATGAATATAATAATGAGTATTTGCTTATGAACTCAACTGAGTTGCATATAATACTACCAAATCCCATCTCTTTTTCTTTGAGTGTGTGTGGTGTGTGATGTATGTGCATATGCACGTGTGTGGAGGCCAAAGGTTAACTAACATCAGATATCTTCCTCAGTTGCTTTCCACCTTTTTTTTTTTTTTTTTTTTTTTTTTTAAGATGTGATCTCTCACCAGTGTGGCTAGGCTGGCTGGCTAATGAGTGCCAGGGATTTGCTGGGATAACAGATGTGCACTCTCATGCCTGCCTGGCTTTTATGTGGGTGCTGGAGAGCCAAACTCAGGATCTCATGCTTGCACAGCAAGCACAACCAAGTGGGCCATCTCCTGACTTTATTTAAAATATTTATTTGTGTGTGTGTGTGTGTACACTACGGACTAAATCTAGGGCTTCATACATACTAAGCAAGGGTTGTTCTATAACTGAGGTATAGCCCTAGCTTTTGTCTTTAAAATATTTACTACTAGAGGTTAAAAGGATTATTAAAAATCTAAAAATTCTAAATTATACTATGCTTAGATAAAAATCAATGTCAAAATCATGTAGCTTTAAGATTTATGTATTCTTTTGTGAGTGTGCCTATGAATGTATGCCACATGTGTGAAGGTGCCCACAGAAGCCAGAAGAGGGCATCAGATCCCCTGGAGCTAGAGTTACAGGCAGTTGTGAACTGCCTGACATGGGTGCTGTGAACCAAACTCAGGTCCTCTGAAGAGCAGTAAGAGTTCTAAACCACAGGGTCATCTCTATGTCATGTAGTTTTAAGAATTATAGCTGGGTGTGGTGGCGCATGTCTTTAATCCCAGCACTCGGGGAGGCAGAGGCAGGCGGGTCTCTGTATAGTGAGTTCCAGGACAGCTGGGGCTAGAGGGAGACCCTGTCCAAAAAGACAAAAAAAACCCAAAAACCAAAAACCAAAACAACAACAACAAAAAAAAAAACCTATGCCAGGCGTGGTGGTGCATGCCTTAAATCCCAGCACTTGGGAGGTAGAGGCAGGCGGATCTCTGTGAGTTCAAGGCCAGCCTGGGGTACAAAGTGGGGGTCCGGGTAGGTGGGGGGGTGGGGGGCGCCTGGCTTTCAAAAACAACGAAAAAAAAAAAAAAAAAAAAAAAAAAAAAAAAGAATTTTTTTTTATAGTTAAGTTTATTGCTTTATTGCTAGGAACTCAGATTTTCAACATACTAACTCAGATTTTCAATTTCAGTTCTTTAAAATCATCAAAAACCAAAAAGACAAAAATTCAGTTGTATTTAAATTTATTACTCTGCAAAATAGATTTTTCCAAAAATGATCATTATAATAGAGATATTTGGAGTTACTTATGGCTTAGGCTTGAAATAGCTTGTGAACCACTAATCATATTCAAATTTCTTTCTGGAAAAGCTGATAGAAATGGCACCATCATATCCTTCCTTCATCCCACTTGGCAATCCCTAAAAGCTTTTACTTCTTTTAGTTCACTAGAATATTGCTTGGAAAAGGAATAGTTTGTAAAAGGTTCGTGAGGGGCTTGACACACTCACAGAATACTGGCAAAGTAGACTTAAAATGCTTACTATTTCAACTTTGAAATGTTCAGTAAAAAGGGTGGGGGTCATACCTCCAACAGCACTTCTTTGTTTCTGTCCGCCATCTCAACTGTTTCCTTTTTTCCTAGAAGATAATTCTGAAAAACAATGAAATGAAAATTAAAGGATAAACTCATCCTACTATTTTCTTGAATGAACTCATGCACCATCGTTTGCTCTAGAGAGATAACAACTCTAGTAGGCTAGTTTTTGCCAGTGAAGAGGGAAGCACTCCTTCAAAAGCCTTCCTCTGTATGTCATCATCATTAAGGTTCCTCATCCACCTCACTCCTGGCCAAAACACTTGCTATATACTATATTCCATAGACTGCCTTCCTTCAATCTTGAAGTAACGTTATATGCAACAGCCGACAACTGTTTTGGAATATTTGACCTAAGTCTACACTGAAATATGTGAAAGGCTTGCAAATTAAGTAGAAGAAATAAGGGAAAATTTCTTAAGACATACTAAGCCAGCAGAGCTCTATGCTGGATCTAGCATGCTAATTCAGAAAAAGAAAACTCATGTTCTGGCTTTTTAAGAATTCCCAAATTCTGTTGCAGGTACAGTAATCTCATTTGCTTGGTTTAATTAAAATATGAACTGTAATCATTAGTGTAGTTATTTTTCTAGTTTTCTACAAAAAGATCTATCAACACCCCCAAACATGTATTCTTAACTAAACAATATGCATGATTACATCTGAAAGGCAATGTTTCAATGTCTTTAACACCACTGCTATTTCTCCCATTGCTACTTTTCACTGTAGAGCAGTGTTGTTTTTCCTCACCTACTGGGAAGGAAGGGGACAAACAGGAGTCGGGCAAGGGAATGTGGAAAGTGAAGATGGAAGAGAACAAATAAAAAACAAGAACATACTTTAATGAAACCTCTTACTATGTATGCTAATTTTAAAAACTAATACCAAAAGGTATGGGTATGGTGAAGTACTAACCCAAATATTATTTTCAAATAAGAAAAGATGCCAAACAAATGAAGGTATTATATAATTTAGTAAAGAAGTAAAATAACAAATAGTTGGGGATAGGACAGCCCTGCCCCCTGGCCTGCTTTGGTGAGAGATGAGAACCTTAAATATTAGTAAGCTGTTGGGCTCAACACAGCTCTGGATTTACTGAGTGAAGAAACCTAGTAACTTCACGGACTAATTCCATTTCCACAAGGCTTCATTCACCCCGATGTGGGACTGGGCACCTTTCTGAGACCAGACACCAGGTCCCCAGGTTACTTTCCCCACAGTAGTTTACTTAGAAGCTCTCTTGGGGTTTTGCAGTTACAATGCTCCAATCACTGGCTGTTAGTCTTTAACTCTTATTGACTTAGCATTTACAGAATAAGATAGATTTAAAAAACCCTCACCACTCTTAAGTTACTCACTCTTACCTGTGGGTTTTTAAAAAGTGCATATTTTTCTATACGCTCCATAAATATAAGCTTGTTTTGGCTATCTCTTGTCCAATTAAGAAGATTTTCAACCAAGTTTTCATGGTCTTCGAAGATTCTCTCTGTCCCAAGATCAAGTATCAACAGAATTGTATTAGTATTTAACAGAATTATATGAAAGGCAAGAAATTCACATCAAAACTATGGAATCTTTATGTATGTATGTGCATGTGTCTGCACACACACGCATGTCTGCATAGACCAGAGGTTGATGTCAGGTGTCTTCCTCAATTGCTCTCCACCTTATTTTTTGAGACAGAGCTAGCCAGCCAGTCAAGACCCTCTTGCCTTGGTCTTCTCAGTGTTGGGATCACAGATACACTCCTCTGTTGGTTCTGGGGGATCAGACTTAGGTCCTCAAGCTTTCTTAAAAAACACTATTGGTAGCTGGGTGGCTGGGTATGGTGGTGTACGCCTTTAATCCCAGCACTTGGGAGGCAGAGGCAGGTGGATCTCTCTGAGTTCAAGGCCAGCCTGGTCTACATAGTGAGTTCCAGGATAGCTGGGGCTACAGGGAGACCCTGTCTCAAAAAGACCCCCCCCCCAAAAAAAAAACCCATAAAAACACTACTGGCTGA